CAATCCCTCTCCTAGGTATATAACCAAAAACCTTGACATCATGAATTCACAAATATTTATGCACCCTATGTTTATTGCAGCATTATTCACAGTGACCAAGACATGGAAACAACCAAAGTGTCCTGTAATAGAGGACTGGATAAAGAAGATGTGATGTATATACACAAGGGAATACTACTCAGATATAAGAAAGTATGAAATAACACCAAGTGCAACAACATGGATGGACCTTGAGAATATTATGTCAGTCTGAAAAAGCTAAGAACCATATGATTTCACTCATATGTCAGATATAAAACTGAAACTCATGAACACAAACAGCAGTGTGGTGGTTGCCAGAGGGAGGGGGGTGGGATAGAGGAGATATTAATATAATATAAGGTGACAGGAGAAGATCTGACTTTGGGTGGTGAGCACATAGTTGTGTATACAAGTCATATAACATAGAAACCCACACCTGAAAACTATTTGTTCATGTTGACCAATGTCACCACAATAGATTTCATTTTTAAAAAGATGGCACAGTAAACAAAATAAAAATAAACTAAGGACCAGAAATCATTGAATTTCCAGATTCCCTGAAGAGAAACAATCCTTCATCTTAGGATGAATCTATGAGAGGACTAAAATGAGATTTAAAAAGAATACAATTGGAAATTCATTAATTTTAATTCATTTTTTAAAGAGCTGAGTATCCTCCTGTAAAAACTGTACTTCTGTGTCACCAAAGAGTCAGTGAAGAAAAGTTTCTCTCTATAGATGTATTCCAGTTAGGAAAAGGAAGAAATATAAGCATTAGGATAACACTGGTTTTCAAGTCCCTGGTTAAATAAGGCACTCAGGTGATGACCGGCAATTTTCATTCACAGTTCAAAAAGAGGAACCACCAGGTATGACGTGCTGGATGGACATATACAATACTACCCATTATGTATTTTTGATAAAATATTCAACCTGAGTCTGATGAAGTTTTGGGAATGTCAGATAACAGAAAATACATGAAACAATGAATATTTTAAAACACGATGTGAATGAAATCAGAAAAATGCAGAAAAATAATCAATTTCTTCAACAAAGAAAACTTCAGGGGAAAAAGAGGAGAAATCTGTAGATTAAATGATAAACAGATATAATAACCAAATGGAAAATGTAGATCATATTTGAATTCAATTTCAAGCCAACTTTTTTTTTTTTAATTCTGACACAATTGGAGAAACTTGATTGGCTATACTAGTATTTGATATTTAAAAAATTTAGGTGAGATAATAGTATTGTTACATATTTTTAAAATTATGAGATACATAAGAATTATTTAGAAGTGAAATGATATATGCTGTCTAGCATTTACTTCAACATTACCCCGGGGAAAGGCTGGGTGGAGGGTGCACATAAAAAGTATCCATGTGTTCTTGATTATTGAAGATGGGTGATAGCTGATTTATTGTATATATCTGAAATATTTCACATTGACTGTTTTTAAAAAACAGGGCTAGGTTAGATTCATATTATGTCCATAAGAAACCAAACATCTAGAAAGTGGAATACAGGTGTTTGGCAAACCACCTAATTATTTGCTTTCAATAAAGTTGAATGAGGCCGAAACCAGTTTGGCTCAGTGGATAGAGCGTCAGCCTGCGGACTAAAAGGTCCTGGATTCGATTCTGGTCAAGGGCATTCTTGGTTGCCCAGCCTGCGGGCACATCCCCAGTGGGGGGGGGGGGTGCAGAAAGCGGCTGATCGGTGATTCTGTCTCATAGATGTTTCTAACTCTCTATCCCTCTCTCTTCCTCTCTATAAAAAAATCAATAAAATATATAAAATTTAATGAGTACCACTCATGATATTAGTCAATCAATCATTAAAAATATAACTGAGAGTTTAGAGTGTAAATGACACTAAAGATGCCTTTTATTTATGTCTACTTATGTGAACAAGTTTTCTCAACACTAGCATCTACAAATTAAAAAAAAATTTTTTTCAAAGCAGTAAAAAATTAATTCTGAATGCAATCTCACTCCAAAAGTAGTAGCACTCAAAACTATATATTTAAACTAATTGAAAACAAAATAACCCCCTTTATTTAAGATGTACTTACTTTTATATTTAAAAATTTTTTAATTTATTTTTGTATTTAGTAATTATTAACATTTGTAATGTATGTATTACTTTCAGCAAGTGTGTACTAAAAATAATTGTGATGACTCAAAAGTTAGGATAACACAACATGTTTAAAAATTAATTTCAATTAATATACTAAAACTAAAGGTCCGATGCATGAAATCCATTTATGGGGGGTGGGGTTTCCTCTCAGCCCAGCCTGCATGCTCTATAATCTGGGACAGCTGGCTCCTAACAACTCACCTGTCTACCTGCCTGGTGGCCCATAACTATCCCCTCCCCCCGCTGGCCTGGTTTCCCCCTTACTGGCCCCCCTGTGGCCTGGTCACCTTCAACTGACCCCCTCTGTTGTCCTGGTTACCCCTAACTGCCCCCATCAGCCTTGTCGCCCCTTACTGCTCCCCCTCACTGACCTGGTCACCCCTTACTGCACCCGCTCCACCCTCACTCCCCTCCCCCTCCTGCGACCCCTGCTGGCCTGGTCACCCCATGCAGCTTGCTGCTGTTTGGTCGTTAACTATAATATTTACTGTGATGGTGTCCTGGACAATTTGTATATTCCTCTATTATTATTATTATAGATAGTTGCCAGGAAGTATAATGAAGTGATCAATAAATTGATTTTAAACCAAAATATATTACAGCAGGGTAAATTCTATGGAGGAAATAGAGTGGGAATAAAAGTTCAAGAAGGAAAATTAATGAAATCAATTATCTATGAAAGAAGAGCTTGTTTGCACATTGTTTAAAAGGATCATATTTTAAAAAAGGATCATATTGTGCATATCAATCTGCTAGTGTTTAGATTATCTGCTGATTATATTCAAAGAAATTAACAGTTTTTTTAATGTCAATATTTAGGATGGGCTTGACTTTTCATTGGAACTATTTAAGTTTATGATGAAAACTTTTCACGTAAACATTTCATTTTGAGTGAGGCCTACCGACCTAGACTGCATTAGTACCCATTTGTTTTTGGCTTTCATCCCAAGTATTTTTTCTTTAGACAACTGCTACTATCTGGGCAACTGGAAGACTCATTACTGTCAGAGGATAAATCTCCCAGGGAAGGGACATAATGGAAGGGACATAATAGGACTCAGTGGGATTGCCAATAACTCAGAGAAGTCAAATCTTGGAGCCCTGAGGAACTCTTCACTCTAGTCACTGTGCTAGTGCTTTCATTCTGTCATTCTGTTCTCGGAACCACCACCAACCATAACAATGAGCCACCGATGGCTTGTTACTTGCCTCCGGTAGTGGAGATAATACAAGTTAGAGCAGGGAGCTGAGATTAGAATCCATTTCTGCCTGACTCCACAGCCATGGTTTTGCCAATACTCCATCTGACTTCTCAATAATTTGAACTTTTAAGGTGAAAAGAGTAAGCACAGGCAAGTCAAGGATCCCCTTGTTAATTTCCCACCTGCCACTGATGCCATGAAAGATGCCAGGGTTTTTCCAGTACCACTCCCCCTCACTCACCAGTGAGCTCAGAAAGGCAGCAGTGAAGTTGGAAATTACCCACTCATGATTCAGGTGAAATTGAAGAAGTTGCCAGCCAACATTGCTTTAGGAAGCAAAAAGTGGGAGAGTACAGGTACGAGTAAGGGGACTATGGCACTAGTGTTGATAGAAATGCTAACCATCAGTTATTCATCCATTCATTCAGTTGTCATTGCCTGCCCACTATGACTCATATAATGGATTCAATTCATTCTCAGTGTTTAGGCAGCACAATTCTATTAGAACACTTATGACTCTGTTGTAAGCTATGACACATAGTAACTTGATGAAGAACCTATGGGTCCGTTTTCTTAGTTTTTCTGTAGAGTTTGGACACTGTTTGAAGGAGGACTCTCGCTCTCTGGTGCTTGGAGAACTGTGCATGCAGTAGGTCCTACCTGAGTGCACTTTTCATAAGCGCTCTCTGGTTAGTCTTGCTATTTGTTTTGAATTCTGAATAATCCTATATAATAAAAGGCTAACATGCAAATAGATGGAATGGCAGAACAACCAGAACAACCGAACAACCCATCACTATGATGTGTGCTGACCACCAGGAGAGACACGTGTGGAACATGGTGAGTGTTGGCCCTGGTGGGATGGTGGAGTAGGTGAGTGGGGGGCACCAGAACAAGGTGGGGCACTGGTCTCTGTCATCATGGTGAGCCTCTGGTAGTTACTGAAAATTCTTTGCTCTTGTGTGCCACGGTCCTGGCCAGCACTTGTACCTGTGGCCAGCACTGGAGCTGCCGCTTGCACCTACTGCCAGTGCCCGGTGCTGTCAGTGGGTGTGAGCAGCGGCTGCTGGCCCCTATCACTGCTCGGGGCTTCTCTACCTCCTCTTGCTCCTGAGGGGAGATCGGGACTGGCAGCTGCCTATCACACCCACTGCCAGTGATCGCCCCTCTCAAACCCACAGCTGGCACTGGAACCACTGCTCACACCTGCTGCCAATGCTGGTGCCAGTCCCAATTGCTTGGTGCTATCAGTGGGTGCAAGCAATGGCTGCTGGCCCCTATAACCCTGGAGAGCTTCTCCACCTCCCCGTCCTTCTGAGAGGTGATCCGGGCAGCAGCTGCTGCTCACACCAATGGTGCCAGCCCCACTTGCACTGCTGCTGGCGCCAGCTCCAATCACTCCATGCCTTCAGCGGATGTGGATGTGAGTGGGGCCAGTGCCAGAGCAGTGGGAACAGGGCTCCTGGCAGATGGTGGGAGGGGCCAGCAGGGCATGGAGGATGGGCCAAGACCCACCCTGTGCCCACTGCAGCCTCCTGGCCTACAGTTCCTTTCAAGGTACAAAAATTCATGCACTGGGCCCCTAGTATAATAGAATATAAATGAACAAATTAAAGTGTAACTCAAGTAGAGATGTACCGAATTAAAGCAGGCATTGATCCTATCTTAGGCGTGAATGCAGTCCTCATCGTGGTAGTATAGGAGTCCCAGTGGGTATTACCTGCCAATGGTAAAATAAAACACTTTTAAATGGGTCAGACCAATTTTATAATTAAACTAATTTTGTAAGACAAAACATTTTGGATGGTAATTTTTAGTCTAAAGGAATAAAAGCCAATTTGTGGCCTCTACTAAGAGACAAAGCTCAATTTAATTATCTGAATTTTCTACCTAAATAAAAATAGGTCTATTGTTTTTCTTGAGAATTCATATATGCTATTTTTTTAAATCTTTAAGCAATATGTGAAAATATAGAGCAGAAAGTTTATTTGAAATTCTATCATCTTAAAATGCTCACTATTTCTGATTTACTGACCAACTTTTCATACATCACATTAGACAAAGCTATAAATGATTATGAAATGATGATGCACAAAGGAGCTCAAAGTTTCTATTTCAGGTTTCAGTGTGGAGCCTACTCCTTATTCCTTATTCTCCCTGCTTGTCATCACCTGCCTTCCTGTCCCTCCTCCTATGTAGCCCATGGATATTTCTTTACAGACTTTTATACCTGATGATATAACAGTATCCTGGTTTACATATACATGAATAACTTCATTGAGATATGAGGTTTTGGTTTTCACCAATGTTTATAAAAATGGGCTTCTGAAATCTATATAATCAACTGTCACCCCAATAAAAATTCAATAAAAAATTTAAAAACTGTGCTCATATTCACACAAAGTGTCCTTTTCTCTGTCATATAACAGTGTAGTATGGGAAATTCTTCAAACTTGGCTGGTGTAACTCTAATTCATTTTTTGTAATGTCTGTGCAAGATTCTGTGATTCAGATGTTTAAAACTCTGAGAGTGAGTGAGATCAACAAAGAAGGAAGCATAATTAGAGGAGATGAAGCCTGGGGCATGCCAACATGGGGAGGAGCAGCCAGAAAAGGACACTGAGAAGAGGTCAGTGAGGTAAGAGGAAAACCAGGAGGATGTAATGTCCTGAACCCCAAAGGAAGAAAGTTTTCACAGGAGGAAGGGGTCACATATGCAAATGCTATTGGCCTGGTCCAAGAAGATGAGGACTGAGAATTCACCATTCAGCAGACACTAACAACAACAGAATTTATCCGCCAACCTGCCCATTGTCAACAAAGCACCACCAAATTTCTTGGGAAAGTATATTTTAAACTGGAGGCCCAGTGCACAGGTTTGTGCACTGGGGAGCGGGAGGAGGGAGGCGTGGCCTGCAGGGATCAGCCCACTGTGGGAGCACTGCTCAGCTCATCACAGTCAGCTGAGCGGCTGTGACTCGCCCTCTAAGCAGCTGCTCTCGCTGTGGACTTGCACTGACCACCAGGAGGCAGCTCCTGCATTGAGCATCTGCCCCCTGATGGTCAGTACACATCATAGTGACTGGTCAACCAGTCGTTCTCTCTCTCTCTCTCTCTCTCTCTCTCTCTCTCTCTCTCTCTATATATATATATATATATATATATATATATATATATATATATATATATATATTATATATATATATATATATATATATATATATATATATATATATATATTTTTTTTTTTTAATCCAGTCCTCTAATTCTTCATATTTGGCCAGTTACCTGTTGCTTTTTACATTTCAGGAGAAACTTGGTTGAAATATGGCCTTTAATGTTTGAATAAACTACTGTCTGGGGTCTATAACCTCACCTCTAGAATACTATAGCCACTTCATAGTGTGTGTTTGCTCCCACTCATTCAGTCTAAATACAATGACTAACAAGGCTCTTTTTCAAATACCTCCTAAATTTTCAAATATCCTAAAAATCTGTATGCCACTGCTGAACTTACAGAGTCCTGACCAAACATTTCATTTTTGCCACCTATGTATTATACTTTTATTGTTCACTCACCCTCTCTCCCAACCAGGGATTGTGATTAATTGAACCGGCCCATGGAGCCAGCCAGGTAGCGCAACCCATAACTTCCAAATGATCTCATATGACTATTTACCTGCTGCCTTCATACAGGTTGAGTTTCATCTCCACCTAGAGGCTTCCCCAACCAACTAAAGCCTTAGCCCTACATGTCACACTCCATATCTCTGCTCACACAGACTCCTGGTATCCATGCTCAGATCCCATTCTATGAGAAATGACCTTATTCTTTGATACTCCTGCTTTCATGAGAATCATTTTATGCTTTAAAGCATTTTATCCCACTGGCAGAATTAAATATCCTAAGTTAAGAGAATTTTAAGCATGGACAAATAAGTGGGAAGAAATTGTGAGAAGGTGCTGCTCTTCAAAGAAGTCATCATTTGAGTGGAACCTCAAAAAAAAAAAAAAAAGGCTGACAGCCACCAGAGGCTGGAAGAGGCAAGGACAGCTTTGTCCTCAGAGACACCAGAGGAAGAACAGTTCTCCAACACCAAAGGGCCTCCAGAATGTGAGAGAATACATTTCATTTGTTGACAAGTCATCAGTGTGTGGTAACTTATGGCTGTCTTTGGAAGTAACACAATACTTAAGAGCTCAATCTATAGTAATAGCTCAATAGTAGTTAGCCCATAGCAGGCATCCTCAACCTCATGCTGCCTGGGGATGAAGCTGGCAATGACACATCAGGCACACTTTTAAGGGGGCCACTTCTGTAAGGGAAAATGGAGTAGCACAAGTGGCTATGAGAGGTCCCAGTCTGAACGTGAAGAGGAAACTCACCCAGGGGAAGGGGACTTTGGACCATAATGAATGAGCCTGGTCATCAATCAAGTCAAAAAGCTGACCTTCTGTTCTGAGCAGTTGGGACCCTCTTAAGCTCACAAAGTCTAGGAGGACAGGAGAATAATTTTATTTATGCTGAGTTTGAGACCCTCATGACCTCCAAATGGATCTGGTTGACAGCTGAATATTTTAGTTTGAAAAGTAGGAGAACATCCCAGTTAGAGTCAAGATTAGAAAGCCTGTGGACTTGAAGCCCTGTGGTAGGGATGGCCACGCAGAGAGGAAGGAAACGGAGAAGGGTATATCTAGAAGATGGCAACATTTCCCAACAAGAAGGGAAGAGAAGACAGTGAAAGAAACCTAGAAAGGGTGCCTGCTCTTTGCCCTGCCACCATATAGAAACTGGGTATCTCACATATTTTTGTTCTTAATTATTTTCATTTTTTATCCTCAATTTAAAAAGAGATTGAATGGAACGGAAAACAGACTTCATTCATTCTCATGGAACTACTATTCTATTGAATCTGCAGTTGAACAATGCCAATTGCTCTGTAGCCACCTTGGAACTACAATTACCCAGTTAGAAGGTTGCAAGGGGGTGTTATTGCCATAGGGCCAGAATGGAACTGATTACACAGTAATTTGTGCCATCAGCATCACATCTAGAGTGGTTCTCCCTCCACTGATGCAAAAAGCTGAGTTAGTAAATTTGCCTTTTTGCATGCAAAATTGGTTTTAAAAGCACTACATCTGTTAAATACAAAATCACTCTGAAAGAAAAATTAGCAAAGGTTACACGCAACAGCTGAAGGCCATAGTTCTCAGCCTCTGCTACAACCACGAGTGTGGAAGGGGGGGGGGGAAAGATGGGAGGGGGAACTCCTGCCTCTGAGGATCCCCTTGGGGGCTGTGCCCTGCATTCTGCACCTTCCCACTCTCTGTACTGTTTCTCAGGGAATGTGGACTCCTGCTGGGTCTGCTGTCTTCAGAGCTTCCAGACCTCTCTTCCTGCGTTGCCTTTGGGTTTTTTGCCCCCTGGAAAAGCACTAGTTTCTCCTTTTCCCCACCCCATCCCCCAGCCAAGCATTTCATGGGGATATGCTAAGCATTTTAGGAAGGGATTGGTAGAAAGAATGCTGATGGGTTGGATAGTGGCAAAGTCATGAACACCCTCTCATTTTCTCTCTGAGCCTCTCCTTAAACTGAGTCCCATCGATGAGGGAGACAAGACACCCTTAAAGACCAAAGCAGTCTCAGTGTATCCCATCTCCAGGAAAGATCTCTCCCTATTCAGCAGGCTGACAGGGTCCAAGGTCTTACCAGGCCTCTTGCGGCCACATTGAGAGGGGTAGGGAACCTCCGGCCCAGGCTGTGCCATTCCTGCCTCAACAGGCAGTCGTCAGGGCCCTCTTCCAGCTGGATCTCTTGCTGCCGGCGCTTGGATGCTTTGTGACGCGTTGCCATGGAGACGCGGGTCAGTTCTGTGACGCTCATCCCCAGGATAGCGGTGCAGAGGCTGGGGAACCCAGTGTGGAAAGCAAGAAGATTTGCATCCAATAATATGGATATCTTGATTTAATGGATTTATATAGCTTTCTTAAACACTGTATTTGAGGAGAGGAACAAAAGGGGAGTAGATAGAAGAGAGAGACATTGTCAGGTTTTCAATGGCAGAGTTTCATTTATTCATAACTTTCAGTTTAAGCAACAGAGGGCAAAACTGTCACAGATGTTTGCAATAAGTAGGAACCAAGCAAGAAGACAAAGTCACAGGGAATCTCATGTAGGTAGAACCAGAACCAGAGTTGCTGAGACAATTTCATGTTCCCAGGCACAGGAATTAGGAGAGGACAGGAGAGTGAAAAGTGTCCTTGGGAACAGGAGCCAGCAGGCGAGTTTGCAATCTTTCTTTCCATACAGTAGATCCATCGTGTTTCATAATACCCCTGCAGCGGAAACTGCCTCACTCCATATGTTTAGAGTTTCCCCAGAATGTGGAAGGTTTTTATCTTTATACTCTTGGCAACTAGCTGATGATTTGACACATAGTAGGTGCTTAGTAATATTGAGTGCCTCCAGTTCAGTACACAGATATTTACATCCCCCTTGGATATAAAAAGGAGACATTAGGTGAAATTGCTGGCAGCATATTTAGAAAGTAATTTACACCAGCAGTCGGCAACCTTTCAGACCTCACAGACCACCAATGGTCTGCAGACTTACACCATTCCTTATCCTTAAAGGGTTGTTCTAATATAGAACCTTAGGGGAACAAAGGGAGTTGTCAAAGGACACAGAATAGGGATCAAAGTAAGGACTTCAAGTAGATATGCAGGGAATTTCTTTAAAATGAGGATTTCAACCAGCGTGTTCTAAGAGTTGAGTCTTATCCATTTAATGGAATAGAACATATTTTAGGCTCTCAAGTTTTATAGCAATGAATGTTGGAACACATTAGAAGGCATAGACTTCTGTCGATGTTATTAAAAGGAATAAATCTAAGTTAGGACTTAGGAGTGGCATCTAAATTAAGAAAGTAACAAGGTCTGGAATTGGAGAGCTAATTGCCATTGCTTAATTTAAGAGAAATGTATTTCTTAAAATAGAGCAGCGAGTATATAGAATTTAAAAAGTGAATTCTTATTAATATCTTACTTGTCTTATTTGTCTCCTTCTGAGTAAGCTGTAAAGGGGTGGGGTTCTCACTGAATGGAGAACTCCTTGTATTTCCTCTCTGGGGACCCTTGGGGTAAAGCAGAGACTTCTTTGAGCCCCCATTTCTTTGTCTGTAAAATGAGTTTATTAGCACCTACCTCACCAGGCTGTGAAATGAATAGTACTTCTCTCTCTCTCTCTCTCTCTCTCTCTCTCTCTCTCTCTCTCTCAATATGCAAATTAGGTCAGGGCGTCATAATAGTCATGACCAGCTCAGAAGGAGGGGCTTGACATGGCCTGAAGCCTGAGAGAACAATACATAGGGGCACCGGCTCTGAGCCACCACTGCAGGCTAGGGGCAGGCCCCCAGTGGACACACACACACACACACACACACACACACACAGCGCTTGCTCAGAGCCTCTGTGGCACAATCTGACATGCCCTCATCCTTCTCCCTATCTCATATCCTGGAATTATTGTTCCTTATTTTGACAATCACTTGAGTGAACCAAGTAGCACCATTACACCCAGTTAAAAGATCATCAATTACAGTGAAACTACACTTTCACTTCACCTCAGCCACTATTTCCAAGGCTTTACTCTGAGCCTTATCACCACCTGCAACTGCTAACATCAGAAATCATAGCATGGCCGAGGCCAGCATTGCTCAGTGGTTTGAGTGTCCACCTGCCAATTGAAGGATCTCAGGTTCAAGCGCACAAACCTGGGTTGCAGGTTCAATTCTCAGCCCTATTCAGGGCAGATGCAGGAGACAAGCAATTTATGTGTCTATCTCATCTCTCTCTCTCTCTCTTTCTCTCTCTCTCATCAATGGAAAAATATTCTCTGGGAGGATTAACAAAAAAATAAATCATAGCATGTTGTCCCTGACACCCTATTATATGATTTCTTCTTCTTCTTCTTCTTCTTCTTCTTCTTCTTCTTCTTCTTCTTCTTCTTCTTCTTCTTCTTCTTCTTCTTCTTGCCTATCAATGATCTCTTCCTCTTCCCTATTCATATTCTTTGAATAGGCTGGGCTCTGGATTTACCTGCATCAGTGGAGAAATAGAGCCCCCACTAGGAATTTTAAACAGATAGAACTTAATATTGGGAATTGGTTACCAAAGGGTTGGAAAGGAAAGGCTAGAAGAGAAAAAAAGTGAAGTTAGAGATTAATAGCTACAGGAAGCCATTCTCACTCTCATGGATGAAGGAGCCAGACCATGCCCTGCTGAGGCTGCTGAGAACTTGCTGCTGCCATGGGAACAGTGCTGCAAGGAAGACAGCCTATGGACTGCACTGCCCCTGCCCCTGTCCTTGCCTCTGCCCCTGTCCCTGTCCCTGTCCCTGCCCCTGTCCCTGCCCCTGTCCCTGCCTATGCCCCTGCCCCTGCCTCTGTCCCTGCCCCTGTCCCTGCCTATGCCCCTGCCCCTGCCCCTACCCCTGTCCCTGTTCCAGACCCTGTCCCTGCCCCTGCCCCTGTCTCTGCCCCTGCCTCTCCTTGTCCCTGCCTCTGCCCCTGCCCCTGCCTCTGCCCCTGTCCCTGCCTCTGTAGCTGCCTCTGCCCCACCCCTGTCCCTACCCCTCTTGATCCCAGTGAGGAGCAGAGAGTGGAGCTTCTCCAGTGCATCCATGCTCTGCAGTGAGAAGTTAGCTGCCAGGGGTATCTAGGAAACATAGTTTCCCCTGAACTACAGGAAAGCACAGAAGGGCATAGATGGAGCTTGGAACCAACAGACAAAACCTACCCTTTGCCTTTTTGGCATTTATTCTCACCTTTTACCCTATATCAAACTTCCAGGAACAATAGCAGGGTCCACAAATACCCCTTAAATAATTGAAGATGCTGTCACTTTCCCAAAAGAGAGGCACAATGCCTCATCAGCCATTATTTCCATCTCTAGGTGATCTGCTCCCATTTGAACTTTCTTAGAATAAAGGTTATAAATCATCAGTAATATTTCTTATCTATAATAATAAAACATAATATGCTAATTAGACTGGACAGCTGAACAACCTTCCAGACATCATTCCAGACATCCTTCTGGATAAAGCTGTGGCAGCGAGGGTGAGGCTGGGGCAGTTAGGGTGATTAGGCAAGCAGGTAGAGGGGTTATGGGTGATCAGGGAGGCAGGCAGAATGGTTAGAGGCAATTAGGCAGGCAGGCAGGTGAGCAGTTAGGAGCCAGTGATCCCGGATTGCAAGAAGGTGCAGGCTGGGCTGAGGGACTGCTCCCTTCCCTGCACAAATTTCATGCAGCAGGCCTCTAGTAATTTATAAATTGTAAAGCCACACAAACCTAAGGTCTTATTTCTTTGTCTTACTGCTATTGTGATCTTCATTCTTTTTATCATTTATTTCTGTTTTAAAATGGATTTTAGGGACAGGTGTATTTTATTGTAAACATTACAGCACAGGGCAGGAGGCCTCCTGCTTTTGAAATTGAATTGCTTGAAGCAACCCCTTTCAATGATAAAGTAGGTTGTGTTTTTTTTTTTTGTTTTTTTTTTCGTTTTTTTTCCTTTCTGTCCACATTCTATGCACTAGAATGAGCTGCATATAACATTAAGGACAACACCCTGGGTATTATGGGAGCTTGGGGAGCTTGTTCTAGAAGAGAAAATGTCTTAGCTGAGTTCTCCCAGATGCTTAAGAGGCAGCCAGGGGAAGAGAGAGAGGTCACTGTTATCAAAAAGGGGACCTGGTCCTACTGGGTCTGCCCAGGGCTGTCTTGTAGTGTGAAGGTGCTTGAATTCATATAGGAAAGATTTCACAACATAATTTGAGGTGACTGTGAGGGCATGTTTATTAAAGCTGGGGACAGTGAAACAAGGGAGGGCTTAGCATAGAAGAAGCAACAGGAGAGCCCAGGCTATTTAACTCACCATGAAGTCAGAGAAAAGGGGGCCTTGGAGACAGGTTGAGGGTGTAAGCCTGGGACAAGCTGCTGCTGCCCATTGCTTCTCTGGTTGCAAGTCTCATGGGGACCCTTAGAGTTTAGGTGATGCATGCCTGTGGGAGAAAAGGGAGAGCACACGCTGGGTCCTGCTAAGTTCTTTGTCTTGAGGGTTTTATCTCTCTTACAGGTGGGAACCTTAGGAGAGGGCTCAGAAGAAAGTTTTAGACGAATTTTTATCAGTTTTCCAGGTGTGTTCTTTCAAGGTTGTGGTCTTTACTGATTGGTCAGTGCCAGGGTAGGCGGGGGAAGAAGGAGTGTCACTCATTAGTTTGCAGCTAGTCCTGGGATTGCCAACCTGGTTTTGCTGCTTTTATGGGCCTAGAACTGAAATATAACTGAGGCCTAAATGTTTCCTCTAAGGAAGTGACCTATAAATTGGTCAACCAACTTGTTTAGCTATCTGACTTTATCTCCCTATTCTACTTACTGCCTCAGAGCTACAAGGTTGTGCAGGGGCTTGGAAGGCAAGGAACAGCCCAAGTATGCCAGAGCCCCCGAGTGGCTTGGCATTGCCAGATTGTGAGGAGTGAAGAGAAAGCTGAAAGATAGCTGAAGCAGAAGGCCCTACAGGCCCTGCTGAGAAGCTTGGACCTCCCTGAATGTGAGGAGAAGTTACTGGAGTGGATTAAGAAGGAGTCAGGTCAGAACTTTAAATAAATCCTGGCCTCTTTTTTCATAAGAGAAGAGGTCAAAGACAATCTATGGTGATGTCCACATACTCTGAATATGAATGTTTCAAGTGAAGTTTCTCTGGCTTGGT